GCCGCCACGGCCACCACCACCACCTATTCTTTCCTGCTGCCATTACTATGATAGTAACATTAATAAAGTCCAGGTAGAGGCATGCCACCAACTAGAAACAGCCTTGCCTAAGCATGAATTGCCACCACTTTCTTATGTTCCAAACTTACCACAACCCTAATCTCTGCTACGTTGGGTAAGAAATCACTAAACAAATATGCAAGCCTTTTCTCTCATACATTCAATTTGATGCAAGTTTATTAACAGTAAAATTGTAAGATTATCTATCTTATCCTTAATATTTGTATGACAACAGGGCTTGTTAGAATTTCCAATACACATCAAAATCAAACAAGACATTACAAAAATGCAGATAAATGAATTAATTATTTACTTTACCGAAGACCACTGGACAACAATTATCGTGAAAATCGTCTAATCTACTTGGATACATATTACACGTTACAATGTTAGGGGTGGTAAATGGTGCCTCCATAGGTCATCCCTATTCTCATCATCAGCTTCTCCTCATCTTACTTTAAAAGGTTTAATTATCGAAAAAAAAAAAAAAAAAAAAAACTTTAAAAGGTTAACTTTCTTTTAGCCTTGTAACCTTAAAAAAAAAACATATAGTATTTGCTTCGTTTTAGATACCACATTAAAAATAACCCTTCAAACCACTAAAGTTCATCCTGTCGAGGAAACGAAAGTTTTTAAAATTTTATGAAGGATTTTCAAATAAAGATTTTGATTCATACATAAATCCAAGTTTTTTTCATGAAGAACATGATGATCCATTCAATTTAGGGATATAAAACTTACATCAAGTTTGAGTAAACCTTAGATCTCTGCTCTAGAGTAAATATCCTCGCTTATTGTAAATCTCCATAAGCATCATGAATGGCCTTGGAAAGCTTATCTTGTAAAGCTTATCTTGTGAGAGCCTCTATTGAGAACACTAACCCTAAAATTCCTAAAATTATAGAGAAAGAAATATTTTCTTGTCTTCTAAAAATTATTGCGCAAGGGTAACCTAAAATATACATGGACTAATGTATATATAGACAAAATAAAAATAATAATTAAAGACATTATATTTTTCTCAATCTCTAGAAGTAAAGTGATATCTCAAATTTAATGGGCTTCCAATATCAAGTTGGGCTATGAGTGAGAATTCTTTGGTTTTATTATTTTCTTGGCTACAATGAATTAATAATTGACCCGATACAATATACCATGTACCCAATTCAATTAATTCATAAATTAATTTTTAATCCACTAAAACAAATTAATTACTAGAATTTAATTGAATTCCAATTAAATAATAAATAACATCCAAGTCAATGTTGCATTTTGACCCCTTTATGCATAATTAATTATCGGATAAATAAAGTCATCCTTCCGACAACTAAATTAATATATTTATTTTGGTACATTTGATTATTTGCGGCTTGATCATAATAAAACATTTGTTTGACAAAAATAATAATTTAAATAAATAAATAACTATATAGAAAATCATTTTGCCTAAAAACATACGAAAGCCTTCGAATTTACTTTGTGATCAATTATAATTAATATAAAATAAATACAAGTAGTAATAATGCAAATATTGAGAATATAACCCTCTAACTATTAATTATATAATTACCTAAAGTATCGGTCTTTGGATTTCGAAGATTCTGCCGAACAAATCAAAGTAATTACTAATTAATAAAAGAGTTTATATTTCTCTCATGCTTAAAAGTTAAATGCCATGACAGTGATATGGAGCAATTGCATACGACGGTTCTCGCAATATATCTCAACCTAACGCGGATCCAATTCAAGTCTTATTTAATAATGAGTCCATCCATAATTACCGACTAGGAACTATTTATGATTACTATTTATGTTCATGTATTGATCGCCATCATATATACACACACATATATATATATATATAAATATCTTTTGTAATCAAGTAGACACTATCAATTCCATAATGATTCGAAACATAATACATTGAATTCACTAATTGTATAAAACATATATATTTCAGATATGTTAGGTACATATGTCATTTTAATCCAAATAGAAATTTGCTACGTCAGGGCATATAAATCCCAACACATCCATCACATGAAGCTAAGAAAAGTATTCACTCTGCACAATAACTTAATTGGTGCTTATAGTTTACTTTCTGATGGGGATGCCCTATACTCGTGAGAATCCAATATATTTGAACTTGTTGATGCATAGGTTGAACATTGATAAGAATGCTTTTTCAGTGGGAAAAAATCATCTAAAACATAAAAGACAAGCACTGTTGACCTTAAGGATTTCATCCAATGACAATCTAGTTGTTTTGATGATAACAAACCATTAATGGTGTTTAAGGACTAATATTCACATTGAGTGTTATAGATGACTTATATTCAAAGAAGAACCTCAATGAAGATCATAATGACCATTCCAAGTATTCCATTATTCAAGATCACATCAAGGAAAGAAATGGATACAAAGAAGAGTTGAAGTTGCAAAGAAAGATAGCTTGGACTACAATGAGCAAGAAAGCAACTCAAAGGAAGGAAGAAAGCAAGACTACCTCAGAGCCTAAAGATCGTGAACAAAGCTTGAAGAAAAGGATAGATAGGATGGTGAGTGTTTAGGATTCAATGTCAAAATATCTATGAATCCATTTGAAACTCATCTCTATAGGACCATGCATATCATATCATCATTCATATGCTCCTATATCCATTAGCAATAGACTATACACTTTATTCATATATAATTGTCATATGGAGTCTTTGCTAAAAAGTGAGTTAGTTCAAGCTTGCATAAGCTTTGAAAGAACTCAACACTTGAGCTAAAATGCTAGGACTATGCACATCAATTACATCAGTCACTTTAGTCTATAGAAAGTAGAGTCTAAGGCTTAGAACTTAATTACTCATCTCTAAAGCCTTAGTAAAGGACATTAGGACCCTAGTATGCACTTGATGAAAAACTGTCTTTCTGGCCAAGTATGAAAAATGGCTAAGTGTGAAAAATGAATTTTTGAAATAATGATTATTTCAAAATAATTTTTTCCGGTAATAACTCTTTATACTTCAAATAGCTTAAACTGATTTTATGGGATTTTTTCATCAATTCTACATTGGTCTACACAAGGATTCATTTTTACAAAAACTGTCAAGAATCCAAATTTGTAATAAAACTGAATTTCTACATTTTGATTTAGTTGGATTTCAATTTTTTAGTATTTTTTATTGAATCCAAATTGGGGTACTTCATTATTTACATTGTAAACTTAAAGTTAATGGACATATAAATACTACAAAGACATTTACTTAAATGTTTTCAATGGAAATAAGCTGTGTGCAGATATCCTGTACTGAAAGTCCTTTGCATAAGCTGTCATCTGTCAAAACTGTCAGTGCACCAGATACATACGTCGACCAGTTCTAGCTTCATGTCGACTAGTATCTAGGCAGTACTGAATTTCAGGAACATAACTTTCACGTCGACCGGTTTGGATTTTACGTCGACCGATTTGTACATACGTCGACCGGTTTGTAGCATACATCAACCGGTTCATGCAAAGATGTCGACTGGTTTATGCTATACGTCGACCAGTTCTTGTCGGATCTACAGAATTCAAAATGCAACGGTTCTATTTTCCTCGAACCTTGTGCATTCAACTCCTAACACCTATATTGAGCTTGCAAACTCTATAAATAGAGTGGGGAATGTATGTATAATAAAGAGACATCATTTGAAAGCCTTCATATTGCATTAAAGAGTGCTTTTGTTCTCAAATCTTCTTTTCATCTCTCTCATTCATTCTTATTCTATCTTGAGAGATTCTAGCAAAGATTAAAAGGGTTTTTGCTCTTACTTTAATCTTCATAGAGTTTTTGCTCTATTATACACTTGAGAGATTATAAGAGCTTACATTCTTTACTTATATCATCTCCTCTCATTCATTTCATTCATAGAGTTTGAGTTTCATTTATATTCATCAATACTCTAGTTGTGAGCTGAAAATTGTACTACTATCTTTGAGAGATCTATTGTACTTCATTGTTCTTGCTACTATCTATTGTAAGGGTTGGATTGACCCACCGGGTTGGTGTGACCCAAAGGAAGATTAAGAGAAGGTTGTTCTCTTAGCAAGGAAAAGAAGCAAGGTCTTGCTTCATGTAAAGGTTTGCTCTCCACCCGTAAAGAGAAGCCATAGTGGATTGGGAAGTCTCAAGAGGAGTTTTGAGCCGAGGAGTAGGAGTTTTCGAACCTCGCTAAAATCGCTGAGTCAATGTTTGCAATTTCTCTTCCCTATCTCTTTTACTTTTATGCTTTGAATTGATTATCAAGTTCATTTGGTTATTGCATAATTATTTTAAGAGACTAGTTAGTAATCATATTTATAAATTGTGAAAATTGGCCATTGACTCTATTCACCCCCCCTCTAGAGTCAATTCTTGGGCAACAACGATACGAATTCCAATAGAAGATGGCATCAAGTAGAAGTAGACAGACGAGTTTAAGAAGGTTTAAACAGTACTGGCCGTTCATGCTGCAAGAGGTATAGATATATCAAGTCAAGCACGTCTTTGAAAATGAAAAATAACATGATTCTTCCATATTATTGTTAGAAATTCTATTTAGTATATTAGTGTATTCATGTAATTTATTTGTCTCACGCGCGCCTAGTATGAGGCTTCCTTGGCTGGTCTTATCCTCGTAGGCCTTGCTTCTCTGCTGATTTGGTCCATAACACATGGTTAGTGTTTCTTAAAGCACTCCATATATATATATATATATTTTAACGGAAGAAACTGAATATTAAGGAAAAAGGAATAATACAATCAAGAAGTAGAGCGGTTAACAACCACTGGGGCTAAACCCTCCACTCAAAATCACAACACTCGGCTTCAAGAGCCTTTTTACCTAGCTTATGAGCAACAACATTACCTCCACGAGGCACCTAAGCCAAAAAAAGGACCTTTACATGCTTTAAGAAGAGAGACAATATCCTAAAAAATCACACAAAGAGCAGCCGCAGAGGGTTGAAGCCTCGTAACGGGCTGACAATCACCCTCCACCACGACATTCTGACATCCCCATAGCTGGAGAAGAGAGAGACATTTGCGAAGAATGAGAGCTTCAGCAATAGATGGGTCACTAACATGAGAGAAAAAAACTAAAGCCACTCGGATAGGATGACCATCATGATTCCGCAATATCATACCACCCCCGTATAGCTTTCTAGATGAATCAAAAGCTGCATCAAAATTGAGTTTAAGACAACCCAAAGCCGGAACACACCATCTTGAAGGAACAGAAACAACCGTAGGGGAAGGAAGAGAAAGCAAACTGGATTGACGCTGAATTTCCTGAAATTCAAGAAAGTCCCTGTGAGCCTTCTGGGCTGCCGCAAATGGATCCTAATGGAGGCGAACAAAGATCAGGTCGTTTCGACATTTCCAAATGGTCCAGCAAATGAAAGAGGCAAGACTTAAACTCTCCATTAAATTAGCATAACCTAGCAAGCGCTCTGTAAGATCCACCCATCGTTTTGGCCAAAAGGAGGGAGACACCCTTCGAAAGTCAAAACATAGAGGACTCAGCAACCAAACCAAACAAGCAAAAGGGCAGGGACAAAGTAGATGATCCACCGTTTCCATAGCCACTTCATAAAAAGGACAAGAAGAAATCTCTGAAACCCCGCGACGTGAAAGTAAAGAATTCACCGAGATACGATTATGCAAACTCTGCCAAAGGAAAAGCTAAATCTTTTGATGTGTGGGAATAGACCATGAAAGGCGCCACATACCAGGCTTAGCACCCTCAAAACTACAACCCTCAGTCAACGCTGAACCAACATTCTCTAGAAGAACGGATAAGGCAATTTGATAAGCACTGCAGACCGAAAAAGATCCATTAGAAGATGCACCCCAAACTTTACAATCAGGTCCTCCCAAGACACTCAACGGAATTTGAAGAATTAAATTACTATCGCGAGAGTTAAAATAATGGTGCACCAGCTCTGTATTCCAACTGTGAGAAGAGTGATTTATTAAAGCCGCAACAGAAGAAAATGGAGCATACAGCGGCCTAGTGGAAACTGATCCCAGAAGAGAATCCGGAAGCCAATTGTCTTTCCAGCAATTGACCTGTGACCCGTCGCCAATACGCCATTTCAAGCCGAGCTTAATAACAGCACGAGCAGAGAACAAACCTCGCCATGCCCATTAAGCTTTAGCTTTATATGGGGCATCAACAAAATTACAGTTTTTAAGTACTTCTGCTTGAAGGATTTAACAAGAAGAGAATCATCACCAATTTCCATTCGCCACGCCAACTTTGCAAGCACCGCCAAGTTAAGAGCTTCCACATTTTTAAAGCCCAAACCACCAGAAAATTTGGGAGCACAAAGATTGGACCAACTAACCCATTTAATTTTGTTGGACTTTTCCTCACCACTCCACCAGAAATTAAGTAGTTTGCTTGTGATATCCTTGCAATTCTTCTTTGGAAGCTTAAGACATTGCATAGCATTAGTCGGAAGAGCATTAAGCACCGCTTTCAACAACACTTCCCTACCTGCCTTAGAAAGCAAATTACCTTTCAGTAACTTGACTCGGGAAGAAATCCGATCTGAAATGAAATTCAGCGAAGCAACCTTGGACTTCCCTAAGAAAGAAGGTAGCCCCAGATACTTGTTCTGCCAATCAACATTATGAATACATAAAATCTGTCCACACTGATCTTTCAAATCCGAAACAGTATTAGGAGAGAAAAAGATGCTGGATTTAGCAAAATTAACCAATTGACCTTTTAAAGCAGCATAGCGATCCAAAATAAATTTAATGATCCGCACCTCCGAATTGTTGACTTTACAAAAAAGAAGAGCATCGTCGGTGAATAGCAAGTGAGATATAGGAGGACAACCGTGGGCCATTTGCAAACCATGAATCTTTTTTCGGGCTTCAAACTCCTGAAACAACATAGACAGTCCTTCAGTACAAAACAGAAACAAGAACGGAGAAAGAGGGTCTCCCTGACGGAGACCTCTAAAAGGAACAAAGCTGTCACCGCATTCTCCATTTAGCACCACAGAAAAAGGTACCGTACTGATACATTCTCGCATCAAATTAACCAGCGTTGATCAAAACCCAAATGGTGCATAAATTTACAAACAAACGACCAATGAACTCGGTCATAAGCTTTAGCCATATCAGAAGAGTAATATATAGCTGAAACAATTTTTGCATTGCATAAATGAATTTTATGGGCTCTAAACTCAGTTTTCAGGCTATAATAAATTAAGAAACATTGTATTTCCTTCCTTCAAAAAAATTTGCACCGTTCTCTTTGTGCTTTAAATAAATTACTACTTCTTACAATTTGCAATGTGCTCTGTTTTGTGCTCGAGCAAATTCCGAAATCTGATTGATATCTGAAGAAAATGATAACGTAACCACTCACGACATTTATTTGAAGAGGAACTTGTGTAAGATTATATTACTCCATTAGTTCAATTCAAGCATGAGAAATCCAATCTTTAACCAGGGTTGGTCTATGGACACAGAACATATGTAGCGCAGCAAGTGATGATATCTAATCTTGGTTAAGGTTTAGCCCGGCGACACTCCTAATTATGTAGTTAATACAAGTATATATGGTGTTGCATTCAAGCTACAGTCACTAAGTTCATGCATTCAAGCTACAATCACCAAGTTCATGCACTCAAGCTAAAATCACCAAGTTCATGCACTCAAACTAAAAAAAGCTTTTCATATTAAATTTTTTACAATAGGTTAGTTTTCATTCTTCTCCAATGCTTCTGCCAGAAAAACAAATCGGTGCTTATAATTTAGTCTCCAAAGAAAATCTTCCATACTTACAACATACAATATATTTTACCAGCCAAAGCCAATAATAAACACTAAGATATGAGTTGTGACTAGCTTCTTTTGAAGATCAATACTACCAACTTGTTAATGCATGGATTGAACACAACAAAGTAGCATTCATTTGTAGAAGAGAATTCAAATAACTACACTGCCCAAGACAAATTCCAATAGCTGCACCACAAGCATCTGCTAGCTATTTCTTTTTCTTTTTCCGCCGCTAGCTAATTCACATGGTCGATTTCAATTATCGAGTGAAAAAAGATTATTTCCACCATCAGGTTGAATGAAGCTCTCCCCATAAGAAGCTACCTTTAAACATCTATGAATTCCTAGATCTTTACTTGTTTGGGTCTCAATATTACAAGACATCAGATGGCTCTCGTGGTTTTGTCGTAGCAGTTCACCCCTCTTTCTCAAGGCTAGCAGCTTGGCAGGTGTGTCATGAAAAATACCAGTAAATCGTTTTGTCCAACAACTCGTTTTGCCACACTTCATTGTCCATATGTCACACCACTTATTCAGATAAGATACAGTAATTCCCCCAAAACTGCTATTTCGGCACAACAATTTGTAACCCCATCCGGTAGCATTACCTCTTCAAAAACTTCATCACCCATTTCGAAACGCATAAGCAATTTTTCACAACTACCCTCCGAAGTTTTCTTCGTTGCAACCCAATAAGCAGCACCATTGACAATTGCTGGATTCCGATAAAATGAATAACATGAAGGGGTAACATCAATTCTTCTCCAAGAGTCGGTGCTTAGACTATAAACGTCAGTTAGGAATTGATATTTGTAGGGCTCATCCATCTCATACACCAAACACCAAATTTTCACAACCTTGTAGTCATTAACTTTGGGGTGGAACCCAAATGCCAAACAGATGCTATAATAAACCAAATTGGAGTAGATAATTGGAGATTTTATATCTGGAGAATTAGGGAGGGTCTTTAGTTTTCTAAGTGATGGGTTCCATAAGTATATAGTGCCACTACATAATACATTAGACAAGCATACGAGGCCATTACAGGAGCCGTGCACACATAAAGATTTTTTGCGAATGCGTGAGGGAAGCTGCGGCTCAAAATACTCGTTAAAAGATACATCATCATAACGTATTGAGTAACGGTTAATTCTGGGAAAACCAGATTCATAGTAGCTGAGTATGAAATTTGTGTTTTGGCTTGAGGTTTTGAGATGTGCTTGAATAAAGAAAGGGTCAGTGATTAGAGAGCTCCATGATTTGCAGACTGACCTTAATCGAAGTAGTGATTTTACCGAGAGTCTGACCAGGATCTGAATCAAGATTTCTTGAGGGAGATAATAAAGATTGGAATTTGACCCTGCTATGCTCCTCCTTGCCATTTTGTTTTGGCTTAGATTCGCTCCTGCCATATGGGATAATCAAAACACTAGTGGACTCCTAGTCTTTATGGGATTGTGTTGGGAGTGGTAGGTCAAGTTGGGTTAGGTTTGGATTTATATTCTTCTTCTTATTATTATTATTTTATTGGATTTTAAAAAAGTATAGTTTATTACTTTTGGAATGAGAGAATTTTACGGAAATTAGATTTCAAAATGTTTAAAATCAATGGAATTTTAAAAGAATTAGGATTTGGCAGCATTTTATTGGAAATATTTTATCATTGGCAAATTCAGGGAAAAATGGAAGTATTTGAGGGAATTTGGTAACCGACAATTTTTTTTGGAAAAAAAAAAAAAAAAAAAAAAAAAAAAAAAAAAAAAAAAAATCTAGTATTACATACGCGAATTATATTTTGCCTTTTAAGAACCAACTCCAATGAAACGATTTAAAAACTTTTTAATTCTTGGTAGTCATCGTTTAATAGTTTATTTATTTATTTTATTTTTTTATTTTTTTATGTATATGTATATACAATTCAAATGAATTTTAATCGTAATGAAATACATAAATTCTTATAGATCTTTTTAGATTTTTTGTTTTTATTTTTATTTTTATTTTTATTTTCATAAAAGGTTTATAAACTATCAAAAATAAAATAAATATCTATAAATTTATATAGTAGGGGAAAGTGCATTAAACTCCCCTCAACTACAAATAACCCCCTCCAACTATGAAATTGGTTAAGTTTTAGGACAGAGAAGGTTTTCCGGCAGACTGGCATTGACAGAAAAGTTAGAAAGACCTTTTTACCCTTCCCCAAAATGAGGTTGTTTTAGTACCAACTCACTCAAGGAATGAGGTGCCAGATAGTAATCTCAAAGACCAATCAAAACCCACATCACAGCCACCTCATCCACATGCTCGGCAGACCTTTATCAAACGGTTCCACTGAGCAACCTTTATTATTATCTTTTTTTCCAAAGGCAAGAAAATCTTTCATTAGATGAAATTAAATATGAATACAATCCATATAAGCTTTATCTTCTATGAAAGTTGGAAAAATATCAAAAAAACATACAGTTTCTCTTCTCTGCATAGCATACTGGGCAAGACTATGAGCCAAAACATTTGCCTGCCGCTTCACCCAACCAATCTTCCATCGATCATGTAGTTTTATATATGCCTGAATATCTCCCAAAATAGCTTCAACGTCAACTGAAACTTTTGATGGATTAATCACCAAACTACAATCTCCTTCAATCTCCACTTCTGTTAATTCCCATGCTTGAGCCCACTTTAAGGCTAATCTTGCAAACATGGCTTTAGCTATTAATACAGAAGCCACGTTTGGGAAGAAATGGATGACCGCCTTTAAAACCTTACCCCTACAATCTCGAAGAACTAAGCCAGTAGTAGTATCTTTGGTGTGATCTCTATAGGGAGCATCAAAATTCAGCTTCAATCCACTTTCTGCAGGAGCTTTCCATCACACAACATCAGATTGTGAGGAACTGCTCATCCTAGCTTCATGGCCGCCTTTAATAACCTCTTGATACTCATTCCAATGGTGAAATGCTAACTACATTAGAGCCCTCTCCCCAATCTCTTTCTATTTAAAATAAAATCGATTTCTACTCTTCCATAAATACCAACAAACATAGACAAATAAGCTCGGAGTGAATCCCACATTTCATAGTTTTATGGAGTTCGTGGACGGAGTCGTGGTGATTAGTTCTTGGCTAGTCTTCTAGCCAAAGAAGATGATGTAGTAGAAGAAGATTATCCTGCAGTTGTTCGTGATTTTCTAGATGTGTTTCTGGAATATTTGACAGAGTTGCCTCCACACCGAGAAGTGGAGTTCACTATTGATTTGATGCCCGGTACCGAACCAATTTCTATGGCACCGTATCGTATGGCACCAGTTGAATTGGAAGAATTGAAGATGTAGCTTGATGATTTGAGGATGAAAGGTTTCATCTGACCGAGTGTGTCACCATGGGGCGCACCAGTCTTGTTTGCTAAGAAGGAAGATGTTTCTTTGAGGTTATGCATTGATTACCGGAAGTTGAATCATGCCACCATCAAGAACAAGTATCATTTACCAAGGATAGACAATTTGTTTGACCAGTTAAGGGGAACCAGTTGTTTTTCAAAGATTGACTTCAGGTCAGGCTATTATCAGCTGCGAGTTAGGGATGAGGATATTCCAAAGACGGTGTTCTGTACTCGGTATGGACATTATGAGTTCCTTGTTATGCCTTTTGGCTTGACTAATGCGCCAGCGGCATTCATGGACTTAATGAACCGTGTCTTTCACGATTAATTAGACCAATTTGTGGTAGTTTTCGTGGATGACATTCTTGTGTAATCACGATCTCGGGAGGAGCACGAGATCCATTTGAGAATTGTATTGTAGATTTTACGGGAGCACCGATTGTATGCCAAATATGAGAAGTGTGAATTTTGGCTACAAGAGGTGAAGTTTTTAGGGCATGTTGTTTCAGAAGGTAGAGTATCAATTGATCCATCAAAGATAGAGGCAGTTCTAAATTGGGAGCAACCCAAGAATGTGTTTGAAATCCATAGTTTTCTTGGTTTAGTAGGTTACTACCGAAGATTTGTGAAAGATTTTTCTCGCTTGGTAGCACCTATGAAACGTTTGACCCGGAAAGGAATCAAGTTTGTGTGGAATGAAGCTTGTGAGTCATCATTTCAGGAGTTAAAGACAAGATCTACTACAGCTCCAGTGTTGGTGATACCTGAGCGTGGCTTAGGTTACGTGATTTATTGTGACGCTTCACGTGATGGTTTGGGATGCGTGTTGATGCACGATGGTAGAGTAGTGGCCTATGGGTCTCGACAGTTGAAGACTCACGAGCTTAACTACCCTACTTATGATTTAGAGTTAGCGGAGTTGTATTTGCCTTGAAGTGTAAGAGACACTACTTGTATGGTGAGAGAGTCGTGGTGTACTCAGATCATAAAAGTCTCAAGTACCTTTTTTCCAAAAAGTACTTGAATAACAGACAGAGGCGATGGGTTGAATTATTAGAAGATTATAATTTTGATTTGCAGTATCATCCGGGCAAGGCAAATGTGGTAGCAAATGCCTTAAGCCAAAAATCTCGTGGGACTTTGGCCGGTTTGGCTATTCAAAAATGGAAGATGCTTGAAGATTTGGCAAAGATGGAATTGCAGTGTTTTGATGATGATGTTTGCAGTGAGTCAGCATTCTTATTTAGTCTTGTGGCTCAGCCTACTCTTGTTAGACGAGTGATTGAGTTACAGAGACAAGATCCAAATTTGGATGCCATTTACACCTTGATCTCTGGTGGTAAGACAGTGAAAGAGTGGACCTTACATGTAGATAGAGGTCTATGGTATAGAGGCTTGTTGGTTGTTTCTAAAGGATGCCGTGAGGACATCCTACGGGAGTTGCACACTTCCCACTTTGCAGTTCATCCAGGCGGTAAAAAGATGTATCACAATTTGAGATGTCAGTATTGGTGGAACGGGATGAAGAAAGATGTTGCACAGTTTGTGGCTAAGTGCCTTACTTGTCAACAGGTGAAGGCTGAGCATCAGAGACCGGCTGGTTTGTTATAACCATTGCCTGTAGCACAGTGGAAATAGGAACATATTGCTATGGATTTTGTGACAGGTTTTCCAAGGTCACGGAGGGGCAATGAAGCTGTATGGGTTATCGTTGATAGATTAACCAAGACGGCTCACTTTTTGCATATTAAGGCAACAGATGATGTAGAGAAGCTTGCTGTTCTTTATGTGAAGGAGATTGTAAGGTTACATGGAGTTCCTGTAACCATTGTTTCAGATAGGGATGCCAAGTTCATTACGAAGTTCTGGGAAGGACTTCAAGCAGCGTTTGGTTCAGCGTTGCATCTTAGTACGGCATTCCATACATAGACAGACGGCCAGTCAGAGCATACTATCCAGATCTTAGAGGATATGCTTCGGGCATGTGTGCTTGACTTGGGTAGTAGTTGGGAAGATCATCTACCGCTTATTGAGTTTGCCTACAACAACAGTTATCAGGCGAGCATTGAGATGGCTCTATTTGAAGCATTGTACGGTAGACCTTGTAGGTCTCCAGTTTATTGGATTGAGGTGGGCGAGACAGCCGCCTTAGGACCCGACATTGTACTCAAGACTACTGAGAAGATTAAGCTGATCAGACAGAGGCTACTTATAGCTCAGAGTCGACAGAAGAGCTATGCAGATAATCGGAGAGCCGTTATCTTTTGAGGTGGGAGACCATGTTTTTCTACGGGTTTCTCCCCGGAAGAGATTGTAGAGGTTCAGAAAGAGTGGCAAGTTATCGCCACGATTCATTGGACCTTTTAAGATCTTGGACCGGGTAGGACAGGTTACCTATAGACTTGCTTTACCACCGCAGATGTACAGAGTCCATAATGTCTTTCATGTATCGATGCTACGGAAGTACGAGCCGGATCTATCTCATATTTTGAGTTGGGTTGATGAGGATGTTTCCTACGAGGAGGGACTAGTTTAGATCCTTCACACATAACAGAAGGTGTTGAGGAACAAGACGATACCATTAGTGAAAGTTCTCTAGAGGCATCATGGAGTTAAGAGGGCTACTTGGGAGCTTGAATGGGAGGTTCGCTCCAAGTATTCAGAGTTGTTTTCTCCCTCAAGTATGTCTTGATTTCGGGGACGAAATCTTTTAAAGTTGGGGAGAATGTAATGTTTGAGTTTATATATATATATATGGTGTAGCATAAGAACAAAAAAAAAAAAAAAAAAAAAAAAAAAAGAAAGAAAAAAAGAAAGGAAAAATAAAAAAAAAAGTGGGTGGGACCCACAATTTGTTTAAGTCAATTTGAGACCATATTTGGTCTCTGTTTGTTTTCATCCTCTCTCTCCCGTCTCTGTCTTCCTCTAGGTTCTTTTTTTTTTTTTTTTCATTTCAAGCTCCCACTCTTGATTTCTCCCTCATTTCTTAGTGTTTCTAAGAGCCGTTTGCGGCTATTCTAAGCCCACGATGAGATCAACAAGTTGATAGGAGCAATTCCTTGGTTGGTGCATAATAGGAAATTCGAAATCCTAGGGTTTGAGGTGGAAAATTGGGGATTTTGCATAAAATTGAGGTAGGAGTTCTAATTCACATGTTCTTGGGCCTTTTTGTGAATTACTCTACTTAATTGATTATTAACATGCTTAATTTGTAGAAAATTTCTTGCTTTATTATATATATATTTATATTGTGTCAAAGTTGTGACTATATGTTGCTTGATATATATGATAATGAAGTATGTTAATTCAAGCTTTTGTGCCTTTAGTGCTAGTTTGGTGATTAGAAAACATGAAATATAAGTTTAGAAATTTTTATGTTGTAAAGTATGTCTAAGTATTAAATTTTCATGCCTATTATGATTAATTTGCTAGAAATTGCTATATGGAAGTGTGTTGATTTGTGACATAGGAAAATCTTATGTTGATTTGTGAATTGTAAAAATCCTTAATTTGACATGGCACTGGGAAGCATAAGACATTCATGCATATCATTGGGAAAGAATGGGAAAAATTGATTTGAATAAATGATATGGATTTTTGGGAAAGAATTTTAAAAAGGATTTTGCGAAAAAAAAACCTTGCCGCCTAGGAGTTGCCTAAGGACCGTGGCGTTAGTGAGGCCTAGAGGGGACTAGGGGAATCGCCCTAGTGTGGTTGAGTTACCTGGCCCTAAATGATGCCATGTAGTTGCCATGGGTCAGGGATAGTGACCAATTCTCCTCTCGTGCCGCCATGGAGTTACCATGGGACGGGCTCACTAACGGTTTGAAAATGATAATGGAAATGGTTTTGGACAATGGGGAGTAACATTTCATAGCATGGCATATCATTGCATGACATATTCATTTGTGGTATCGGGTTAATGATGTGCTATGGTGGTTATATTTTTTTTTTTCCCAACATGGTATGATCCCAATTTCTTTATTCCTATTCATGATGTGGATTCATGGGGTCTCAAGAGGTGTGCCTTAGGCACTTCCTACTGAGCCTATGCTCACCCTTTCATTTTAACATTTTTCAGGAAACGGGAAAGAAGTGGCGGATGACAATCCCCCGCAAGCTTGAAGAAGATTAGGAGTTGTATTTTGTTATCTTTTGTTTCTTAGTCCCTTTTTTTTTTTTTTTTTTTTTTGTATAGTTTAAAAACTAAAATGTCGTGTATTTATTTTTTGAAAGCCAAGGTCATGTATTATAAATCATAACTCTTGTTGGTATTTTGAAGGGAAGCGAGACTATGTAAATGCTTAAGTTGAATGGGATGAC